AGGAGGAGGAGGAGGAGGAGAGAAGAAAGGGTTTGTTTGGTATATGAACATCCCTTAAAGCCACCTTCAAGTGTCACATGTAAGGTCACTCAGCGTGAACTTAAGATACACGAAGCAGTCCAGAACAGCAGCAGGAGGAGGATGCTTTTGTAAATTCCTGAGGGACACTCCTCATCAGTAAAGACGGACCGTGGGTAGCGACTGTCCTGGGCAAACCTGGACATAAGGCCACATTCTATACTCACATCCCAGCTCAGACTGGCTTAGCCCAACTCATGTGTGATCGACTCTTTCTTTCTTTTTAATACGTGCTTTAGATAACCTGGAGATAAAACAATCAAATTCCCTCTGATTTCCTGGGTACCTACCATGGGCCAGTTGTCCCAGTGGTGTGAGATGAAATCTACCTCCCAGCTCACAACCTCTGAGCCCCAGAGGTTGAGACTTGGTTACAAATACAGACGTACGTCTCTAATGTCAAGGGTCTAATGCCCACGATACTGTGATTATCTTTTACCAGTCAGCTACTGACACTCATTTCCAGGGTAGAAAGTGGCTTTTATTTTTGCTCATGCAACTCAGAATCCAAGGGAAGCAGTGGTCTCAGACTCAGCTGGACTTGGGGTCTCAGCTCATGTTGTTGGAAGTCTGTGTCCTACCATCGTTCCATGATTTACCAGTGCGTGTTCTATTGCCAGACGCCTGATTCGGCCTCTTAAAGGTCAGATGACTGCAGCCATCCTGGGCTGTGTTAGCAGCAGCTCTGGAGGAAAGACCTGCCATTTCCCAACAGTTAAGAGAGTCCTGAGTATGGCTCTCAGGCAGTTGCCCTCTGCCACTGCCTGATCAATTGCTAAAGTCAAGGTAGATGAGGGGACTTATCAATCCCCCCAGCTAGTTAAGCACAGCAGTCCATCCTGGAGCTGGGTCCAGGGTCACCCGTTCTCCAGCCTTAGGGGCACATAGGAGAGGAGTGGATTCCATCTCCACAGGAGATGACTGGAGGCCAGGTGTGGGTCCATGCTGCCCTGTCTGTAGTCTGCAGGGTTCCTCTCTGGTCCCCTCAAGGCTGCAGCCCCATCTCTTTTCCTCTGCAGTGGAGGGCAGGCCGACTTTGCGTGTGTCAGCGGCTCCAGACTTGTCTGGAGAAAAACAGGAAAAAGGGACTGGACAGGCTTCTCCTCAGTCCCGCCTACTTCTAGCCACAAAGAGCTATGTGGTGGGGAGAGAATTCCCGCCACATTCCTCCCTGTTCTGGGGCAAGTTCTAACACTGAGGGAGAGGCTGTGAGGTGGCCAGGAAAACCACCATGCAAGGGGTATGCAAGGGATGGGTTTGCATTCTGACCTGGGCCTTGAGGAAGCCTTCGGACAGAAGCTGGGGGTGGCCTTGTGTGTCCCAATGCTCAGTGAGCTACATTTGCCCTCCTCTGCCCTTGGGAGTTTTTTAGTTTCTTCCCTCGTCTGGAGGGTTGTGGAGTTTGGTGAAAACTCTGTTTTCGGGAGACTGAGTCTTCGAATAGGCTTATGTGGGGTGATTCTGGAGCTTTCTGGCCTTGGGCACTGGGAATGGAGGGGTAGAGTCAGGCTGACCTTCAGATCCCTGGGGCTGGTGGGCAGGTTACAAACACCTGCCCTGCTGGGCTTGTGCACAGTCTCCTGGGCTGGGAGATGATACCAGGGCCCAGCAGACAGAAGAGGAAGTGGACTGCCTGGCTGGTTTCTGCGGGAGAGAAGCAGTGCTATTATTTCCCAAGGCCTGTGCCCTCTGACCTTAGCCCACACTGGCCTGGTGTGGTTACAGGGGATTTTGAGGTAAACAGAGAGGAGGTTGGAGACAGAGGCCTTCACAAGTTGTCTGTTCCAGATATGCTGTTTCTCAGCTGGAAAATACAGGAAGCAAATAGCAGGTATTGTGGCCCAGTGGGGACAGGTCAGGTCAGAAAACAATGTCCCCAAGCCTTCAAAAACTCCTCACCCCCTTATGCCTTCCAGAGTCTCCAGTAGCCCTTCTGTCCCAGAAATCTAGAGAAACTGAAATTAGCCATGCCTAGGGGTGCAGACCTGTAGCCCCAGATACTTAGCAGGTTGAGGTAGGAAGATCCCAAGTTTGAGGGCTGTCTGTGCTAGGGGAGTTTAAGGCCAGGCTCAAAATTTATAATAAAAAGAGGGCTTGGGGTGTAGATTAGTGGTGAGAACTTGCTTAGTATTTTTGAGGCTCGAGATTTAAGCTCCAGGACTATAAGAGGAAGGAAGGGAGGGTGGGAGGGAGGAAGGGAAGAAGAAAGGAAGGAAGATCAGTGAACTGGAGGCTGTGTGGAGCACATGGCCCCAGGCACCTGTCTCTAAGAGGCTCAGGTGTCTGTGTGCTGGCCCCTCCCTGTGGAAATCAAAGCTCCAGGCAGCCCACTTTAGACAGAAGCATTAACCCTGTGTTCATCCAGCCCCTTTATGATTAAGCTTTTATAAGGAACTTCACAAGAGCGAATGAAGGGTAATGGAGGTGTGAGAGGCGCCCAGAGAGCATCAGAGGATTGGGGCTTTTGTTCACGCAAATAATTAAGAAATAAAGCCATCATTTTGCAGATGAGGTGTGTCATCGAGAACTGTTAAAATGTTCTCCTCATGTAAAACCCCTCTAATTAAGTTCCCTTGGAGGACCGTTTGGGGAGCCTCACCGCCTGTGGGTTACAGTCAGGACACATTGAGCTGCCCCCATTGTGTTTATGTCAGCAGATTAAGGATCCCAAAAGGACTTCATCCTGGGGACTCCCTCAATGGGCCAGACCCTACCTGAGCCAGAGGCTCACCTGCTGCATCGTGAGACATGAGCATGTACATTCTCATCCCCCCCACCAAAGTTTTTCATTACAGTTTTACTAATATGCAAGTCACGTGCCACATAGCTCACCGCTTACAGCAAGCTGATCCATGGGTTTCAGTGTGTTCTCAGACACACACAAACATCACTACCACCTGTTCATGAATATTTTCACCAACTCAAACAGAAACCTGATGTCTTTTAGTCATTACCTGCCTGTCACCCACCTCCTGCCCTAAGCAGCCATAGTCTGCTTTCCATAGACAGAGGCTTCCTGGTTCAAGGCCATGCCCAGCTGACCCATGCAGAATGAAATGAAAATTCCTGTGTCTTTCCTTTGTGTTTGCAGCAGCTCTCTAGAACTTTCCTATGTCCATTTCCGGTGCTTAGGACCCCATAGGCATCCTGCTACTGGCGGGGCACACTTCTCACCATCTGGGGCACCTTTGTTGACGTCACTTTATTCACACGTGATACTATTGTTCTTCTTCAACCTCTGCAAGACCTGTGTCCCCACTCAGACAGCTCCATACATTCACCGTCTGCTCTTCTGTCCCCTCATCCGTTTACATAACATACCTACTACATGTGTGACCTTAGGACATGGGCTGTGTAGTAGACCAGTTACCCAGTGACAACTTCTGGAAGGATAGGAGCTTTCTTTGAACGTTTGCTCTTGGTCAGATACTGCCCTGCATAAATTTTCAATATTTCATATGAGAATGTAGTTTATAGTTTACATTTTTAAACACTCTCCTCCATAGTGGAACATTATTAAACCCCATGTAGATATTTAATAAATTTCCATGGATTATGTATCTCATAAAGAAAATAAGCGATACTAAAAATGCATCACGTGGGTTGAAGAGATGGATCTGCAGTTAAGAGCACTTGCTGCTCAGTCATGAGGACCTGAGTTAGGTTCCCAGCATCTCTGTCAGGAGGCTCACAAACTCCTGTAACTCCAGTTCCAAGAGATCCAACACCCTATTCTGGCCTCCATGAGTACCCTCCCCCCCGACACACGTATGCATATACTCACACAGAGAGGTACACACAGACACATGCACACACATAAATAATAAAATAAATCTTTAAAAATGCATGAATAGGGAGATGACTCAGCGAGTCAAATGCTTGCTGCAGAATTAGGACCTGAGTTTGGATCCCCAGCACTCACTTAAAATGTCATGAATGGTGGTCTGCATCTGTAACCACATACTAGATGGGCAGAGGAAGGAGACAAGGGGGTCTTGGAAGCTTGCTGGCCGTCTAAGCCAGATGGAACAGTGAGCTCCAGGTTCAGTGGGAGACTCTGTCCTCTTCCCAAAACAGTAAGGAAGAGAGTCATAGAGGAAGACGAATGTTGACCTCTGGCTTCTGCGCATGTGTGCGCACACACACACGCACACACACACGCACACACACACGCACACACACACACGCACGCACACATACCATTTTTAAAAACACATCGCCATGTCATAAATGAAACTTGACCTCTGGCCTCTACACACACACACATGCACACACACGCATGCACACACACATACATGCACGCACACACGCACACACACACGCACACACACACACACCATTTTTAAAAACACATCACCATGTCATAAATGAAACTTGACCTCTGGCCTCTACACACACACACACACACACACACACACACACACGCACGTACACAGTATGTGTGTGCAGGCATTCTCACAGATGCATACCGCCCACCATTTTAAAAAACACATCACCACGTCATACATGAAACTTAATCTTTACAGCATCCTTCGTGTTCCTGACCATGGTTCTGTTCGTGGGGAATACTGAGTCCAACCATCTCTCCGAAAAACTGTCCCAGAAGCTCTACCCGGAAGCCATTAATGAGAGGACCACTCACAGTTATGGGTACTCATTTTGGCTCATTCTTCTGGTCATCCTTCTGAACATAGCCACTGTGGTCATCATCGTTTTCTACCAGAAGGCCCGGTACCAACAGAAGCAGAAGCAGAGGAAGCCGATAGAATATGCTCCCAGGGATGGCGTTTTATTCTGAGTCCTGCCTCCCATCACCTTGGCACTGTCTGGTAGCAGCGACTGGCTAGCTCCTCTGGACAGTCTGAATGGTAGAGTGACTGTTATGTGTGGTAGCATCTCTATGGCATGACACTGTGTTCTTCCTAGATGACATTTGCATAGTTTTTCATAGACATCCTCCTAGGAAGGTTTTTCCTGTGAGGCTGGGGAAGATGGAGAGGGTTTTTCCACAAGGTAAATGGACAGGAAAGGCTGCCAGTCTGAGGAATGCTCCAAGAGGGCGTGATCTGGGGCATGCAAACCCTTCCCACCTGGCCTCGATATCCACAGAAATAAAGGTCTGTGCTTTCTGCCTCTCCTGTGACTAGCTCAATGTTCTGTAGCCCCTATGACCTGTCATCCTCAGGAGGGAACTACCATTTACTCTGATCCAGAGGAAGTATGAGTTCCTGACCAGCCTTCACCTGTAGGACCCGAGACCAGGCCCTGTCCTACCGTTTGCACCACTTATTTACCCATCTTCCTTGGCAAAAATGTCCATTTGTTCCTGTGAGCCCTTGGGTAGACTTGGATGCCAACTCAAACTGGAAAAAGGTCTGCTCCTTAAAATAGAAAGCTGGAGGAGGGGGCAGTGCTGGAGAGATGGCTCAGTGGTTAAGAGCACTGGCTGCTCTGACAGAGGACCTGATTTCATTTCCCAGCACTCACACAAAAGTTAACAACCTCCTGTAACTCCAGTTCCAGAGAATCTGACTCCCTCTTCTGACCGCCTCAGGCAGTGCACACACAGGTGCACTTACACACATGCAGGCAAAATGCCCACACACATAAAGTAGTAGAGATAAAGAAAACTGGGTCATGTGGTGACAGGCACTGAATTAACAGAAACATGAAAATTGTGATTCAAGGGCCTGCACAGGTGGCACTGGAGGGAGCTGTAGGTAAGCGCGTGGGACTGATTCTGCAGTGGGAGACTCAACCCTGTCCCCTCTGTCTTCCTGCTGTGTCCTCACACAGATCAGACTTTGGATAATGACAGCCTTAGTCAGCATTTCAGACAAGTCCTAGTTAGGGAGGGGGTGGAGAGGAGGAAGAGAAATGAGGGAGCAGAAGCAGGAGGGATTCACGGCAGACATCATACTGCGAACGTTTCATTTCATTGTTTAAATATTTACTGAAAGGGAGAAATCAGGAGAGATGCATCATATTTTCTGATTGATCATTTTAATTAAGTTGCCTTTTAAATAGATCTCTCTCCTACTTTTTGATGCCTTCCTGCTAAGTGGAGGGTAGATCTCTAACTTTTGCCGTTTGTCCTCAGTGGGATGCCTTCCTGTCTGGTTCTCCTGAGGTACAGCCACTTCAACCAAATGGGCTCTGCTGTGCTGCCCCAGGGACTCCTCCCTTTTCTCATTCAAAGCAGAGATGGGGTGAGGTGTCTGAGCCTTTCACAGGAGACTCTGGGTCCTGGCCTTCAAGGCTCCACCACATGTAGCCTCCCCACTTAGAGTTTTCCAGATGCACAACTGAGTTTACCCACCCTAAATGCTGCACCTGGGACGTCTTTGGACTCCTGAGAGTGAAGGCTCACATGCTTTATAACCAGCCCTGCCGTATAGATAATGCCATCAAGACTCAGCTGGCTAAGCAGTGTATCAGCCATCCCGCACTGAAGGACAGGCTGAGCAGAGCTAGCTATTAACCAAGTTCTTGGAGAGGTACGTGGCGTGGGCCAATAAACTGACGGTGGCCTCACACGTGTATAGGACGGTTATAAAAGTGAGAACTACATGTCTAAGCATTAGACTCTGGACTCTGCCAGCCAGCCACCCCAGGCATTTGTCATTTTAGTAATAGAGTGTGCTGGATTCTTGCAGAGTTTAAACAAGTAGGCCATTCACCTTTGGATTAGAAATATAGCCAGCTGCATTAGATTGCAAACTGCATGCTTTCTTCCCTGGCTTCCCAGGCATGTGATGAATTTAAAATAAACAAATGTCTTTTCATGACGCCCTCACAGTTGTAGTTGGGAATTCTTTTGCTGTTGGCTGTTGGCATAGTGGACACCACACACTGTGTATCAGAAACTTAGGTCCAGTGGTTACTCTACAAGCGAATGCTCTCTGAGCAGTCACAGCATGTAGGATGTGGTGGCCAGAACTGGGATAGCTTTGGTGTCAACTTGACACACCTGGGTTGGGGGAGCCTCAATTGGGGAATTGCCTCCATTGGACTGGCCTGTGGCCATGTCTGAGGGGCATCTTCTTGATGAGTGATGTGGGAGGGCCCAGCCCACTGTGGGTGGTGCCACCCTTGGACAGGTGGTCCTGTGTTGCATAAGAAAGCAGGCTGACCAGGGGCCAGAGGAGCAAGTCACTAAGCAGTGACCCTCCATGGCCTGTGCTCCAGTTCCTTCCAGGTTCCTGCCTCAGTTTGTACCTTGGGCTCCCTGATGACCTGTGACCAGGGAGATGTAAGCTGAATAAACCCTTTCCTCCCCAAGTTGGTAGTGGTCAGAGTGTTTTGTCTCAGCAATGAAAAAACAAGCTAGGACAGTGGGCAAGGGACACAATCAGGGTGGAGCCTCCAGAGCAGTGAACAGGCCATGAATCATGAGGTTGATGAGGTGGCAGGTGGAGCAGAACTACTGTGGGGATCTTCAGGATCCTGACCTGATGGGGACAGTGTCCCAGAGATAGAGGTGGCCTTAGCTCCACCAGCAACTCTGTGCTCCAAACCAGGGCTGACACCAACCTTAGAAACCATCTGCTACAACTGCTCCTCACACAGACAAGTAGAGGAAACCCTGACTTCTTCGTCTTCATTTGTGAAACAAAATAAAAGATTTAAGATGTTCAAGGTGATTTAAATTTTTTTCATTGAACTTTTTATTAAAAATGAAACCGTCACATAAAGGACAAATGTGACAACATCAAGATTCCAAGTATGCAGGTCATGAGGAACATTCTAGATAACATCCGTATAAGACTTTCATTTTCTGTGAATGTTGTTAGTTCACAACTGATACAACAGACCTGCACTGTGGGGATCTGACTCATCTGAGAGTGGCGGCTAGACATTCTTTTCAGAATTCACCTAACAAAATCCACTGAGTGAATGATGGTCGTGATGGCGATGATGATGGTAGTGGTGGTGGTGTGATGCTGATGATGCTGATAATGGTGGTGATGATAGTGATGGTGATGGTGATGGTACAGGTGGTGATGATGGAAATTTTGGTGATGATCATGGTAATGAAGGTGATGGTGATGATGGTGAAGGTCATGATGCTGGTGGTGATGGTGTTGACGGTGATAATGGTGATGATGGAGCTTATGATGGTGATGATGGTGATAGTAAAACAGAGGTGGTGGTGGTAGTGATGGTATGATGGTGATGGTGATGATGATGAGAGGTGGTGATGATGGTTTTGATGGTGATGGTGAGGATGATGATAGTGTATTTAAAAGAATTTAAAAATTCCATTTGATGTTTTATAATGAAAAATTCTTTAACCAACAACACAGTTTTCAGGTTTCTTTGTCTTTCCTTTACTATTATGACTTGAATAGTGTCCCTGCCCCAAACTCACATATTGACATTCTAAGCCCCAGAGTATTTGGAGATACAGTATTTGAAGAGAGGGCAGGAGGACAGTGAAGATTAAATGAAGCCATAAAGATGGGACTTAATACAACTTGTCTAACGTCTTAATAAGAATGGGGAGGGACAGGAGAGATGGCTCCAGAAGACCTGAGTTCAGTTCCCAACATTCAAATGACAGCTAACAACCATCCCTAACTCCAGTTCCAGGGCCTCTGACTCCCTCTTCTGGCCTCTGCAGGTACTACATGCATGTGTACACTTACACATATGCAGACAAAACACTCATGCACATAAAATAGAAATGAATATTTGTAAAAATAAGAAGAGGGAGAGATATCTGAGCACATGCCCACAAAGAAAATGCTTCTGGAGTGAGAGGTGAACCAAGGATCCGGAGAAGCCTGCCCGGTGAACCATCATCTTGGATCTTGACCTGGAAGAACATAAATACTCACGGTTTAAAGTCTCCACCCCATTGTATTTTGTCTCGTGGTTGCCCTCATAGACTGAGATGCTTACATAAGAGCTGAAGTGTCTGTGGTGAGATCTTGCACTCCACCTCCTGGCTTCATACTGAGCATTCCAACATACCAAGGTCACGCCTAGCTAGAAAGGCAGCTCTCCCGGCAAAGTTTTATGGCTATATTCTAGCCCATGTCAACCTAAGTCAAGCCAGGTAACACATCACCAGCAATTCCAATGTCATGGCTGAAAATTGTTCTTATAGGTACAATTGCCTAGCTTAGGGCCACCGTAAAAATCCTGTGATCATAGACTCACTTAAACAAATCAAAACTTATGGAAAATTTTGATAGCAAAGTACGGAATGTGTCAATAAGAAAACCCTCATAGTTTTATTTGGGCTGGAGAGATGGCTCGGTGGTTAAGAGCGCAGGCTGCTCTTTCAGAAGACCTGACCTTGACTCCCAGCACCCACGGCACATGGCTCACAATCACCTGTGACTAGCCCCAGGGAACTCAATGCGCTCTTCAGGCCTCTGCAGGCATCCACACACACACAGCATATAGCCACAAAGCACACGTACACACCCCTAAATAAAAACAGGTCTGAAAAATAAGCCCTTCATTTTTAAGCAGCTTTAGGTTCCTTGTAAACCTAGTTTTGTTTTTTTTTTTATTTCCTTTGCAAGAAAGGAGTCTTTTTCTTTCCTTTAGAATTTTTGTTATATTTGATATTGTTTGGGGTTTTTTTGGGTAAGTTTTTATTGAATTTTTGTGTATTCCATGTGGAACATCTTAATCATCTTTATACCCCCTCCCCCATTGGCACCCTCCCATACCCCCCCCCACTGGAATTTATGCATTCTGTCATTTGTGTTAAGGCCTAGCAAGCCAAGTTATTGTCCCCAGATGTCACTCAGTGCAAGTTCATCCACTGGGGTCTAGTCAGCCTATCTAGAGTCCCTCCCTTTAAGAAGATCAGCTCTTCCTCACCCAACAGTAACCAGCTGCGAATAGTTCTTCAGCTAAGATTGGGGCCTGCTGCCCATTTCCACAGTTTATGCTGGGTTTTTGTCTGCTTGAGTTTATGCAGGTCTTGTGCATGCTGACACCATTGAGCAAGGTCATGTGAGCAAGGTCCCAGGACCATTTTACCAACTGAGCCATCTCCTCAGCCCCATGGTCAGTATTTCTACCATGACCAATATTGTTAGATGGAGCCCTCACAAATGAAAACTCCTTGGGGTCTTGAATCATTGTTGAGAATACTAAATGGTCCTGAGACCACAAAATTTGATGGCTGAGCTGCACCAGGGAAAAGTCTTCAGTGCAACCAGCAAACTCTAAAGAGGCAGTGAATCCACCCTGGTGTGAGCTGTGGACCTTAAGGATTGTGGTATGATTATGTCAATGGAGTTTTATCAAGGGTCACAAATGAGATACTGTGGTGGCCAGTGGTGATGACAAAGAGACAGGAAGAGTCGGTAACTTCCTCTGAAGTTTGCCATGGGACATTCTGGTCTCAGGGCCTCTCCACACTCTTGGGAGTTTTTCTCACTTCTCCTTTATAAAATTACATTTTCTCTGTTTAAAAAAATAAATACAGTA